AATACTCTAAATAGACTCCAAAACATATATAATTGTCATAAAAAAATATCAATACCATGACTAAAAGTGGGTCAAAATCATGGTATATCAGGCTTCCCTACTTTCGTGCTTTCTTCGTGTTAAGTCGATCTCGAAGGTCGGTAGAGTGTGTACCTTTGCGACGGGCGTTGAGATATGCTCAGAGGTTAGAAGATCCGGTGTCATCGTCCGATGATAGTTCCCTTTGAGAGAGGATGACTTGGATCCGTTTCCTATTCTTGGGTTGTTCCTCGTCAGCATCTTAATCATCTCGGGGATGACCCGCAGCGTTTTCGTCGTCGGACGCGCCCGGGTGAGCTTCTCCCTCACGACGGAGCTTATCAGCCGTCGGGGTTTCTACGGGTTGCATCGGCTGGTTGGCCGGAGTCGGTGTAGGGTTGGTGTTGAAGAGGAACCGGCAGACCGAAGTGATGTCTCTGACTGCTTCTTCGGGTGGTGAAAAGATGGCGGCGATGGCCGCGAGCTGGGCGTTTGTCTCTTTCTAGGCTTCGTCTTGTTGAGCAAGGCGGGCCATGACGGAGTCCATGAAGTTCTCGAGAGTCGGGGCAACCAGGGTCTCCTCCGGCTGGTTCCCGGAAGAGTCTTCTCTGTTAGCCATGTTCGTCACCCTACTTCGTAATGCCCCACGGTGGGCGTCAACTGTTTGAACCAAGTTTGGTGATAACAAGTAAATGATCGACGGAAACTCGTCGGTGAGTTATTACGAAGGTGCAAACAAATGATTAGAACAAAGAACCAGTTTATTGATTGAAGAGAAAGTGGATACAAAGAAGACACCGGTGCTCGGGAGCTACGGGGTTGTACGGACATGTCTAAAAGGAACAAGATAAATAAAGCACTAGTTTTGCTGCCACCTAGCCAGTCTATTTTCGGATCCTTTCTAAGTTTGGTATCTCCTCGCCTTTATAGGTGGTCATACGGACAACCCTAATGGGCTGTCTCCTTTGCCCCATGGGCTTCTAAACGAGCCGAATCCGCTTGCTCGGTACGGAACGATGACGTGTACCCGTCCCAAATTCCTTATCGCCTTGCGGACACGAGCTCTCCTTGCTTACTCGGGCCGAGTAACGGGCCGCAGCCGTTATTCGATGGGCCTTGATGGTAGGATATAAATCCATCCTTTACAGCTGCCAGACATAAAACTCATCGACGGCAACCGCTATTCTCTCTTTCACAAATATTAATTAAAAATGACCAGTCTTCATCAAAATCCCTAGAATCTTTTAGCAAAAAATAATAAATGTATAATTGCTCTATGGACGGCAACATTCTCCGGATTGGAGCAGTCTCTAATAAATAATCACTGCGCGTAACAATAACCATTTGACCAAAGTTGAATAATGGAGTCTGTAATCAGTAATCACCGTCCCGCGAGCTCTGAATCGACCGAACTTGAAGAATGGAGTGGTCGATTTACCTCTCTCGGTAGCAGTGGAGGAAGGGTCGAACCCGAGCTTGGAGTAGAAGATGGACTCAAACATGATTTAATGAGTCTTTTTTTTTTTTTTAATATAAACTAGATCTCAATCCGCGCAATCGCGCGGATATTTGTATTTGTTTTTATTTATTTTTATATAAACACTTTTTTTTACTTCTAAATTGGTATTATATTATATAAGGTGTTTATATCTAAAATGATCATTAATTATTATATAATATAGATTAATTATTATTAGAAAATGATGATTTTGTTATTTTTAAAAATAAACTATATAATTTTAAAGTTAACATCAAAAATATATAAATATTAATTTATACTATTACAATATTAAATTATATAAATTTAATTTAAACATGTATTTTATTATAATATCTATAAATCCAATGGATCATCTAATTTTTATTAGCCCAATAAATATTTCTATTAAGCTCAATAAGTGTTATTAGTGAATCTAATGAATGTTATTAATGATTGAATAATATAATGTCATAAATTCTATTAGATGGTCCATTTTAAAATATCACACATCAAGTGAAATCATGACTTCTCTTTTAATATATAAGATGGCAAAACTGTGAACTTTTTTGTTGCTTAGGGGTTACAAGGATTTTTACAAGACTTTTGCATAGGGTCAGAAAAGTGTAGGTGATCCTCTTTGCAAAATTATAACTTGTTATGACCAACCTCCAAATTAACAACTTATCTACGACCTAGTCTCCCAAATTTGTTGAAGAGAGCACTACTACGAACTATGTTGTTAACCCAAATCAGACAACAACACCTATAAATATGTACACAATAGTTTCAACACACAATATCTTCCACATTATCTTCTCTTTCTTATATGTCATATTCTCTCTGTTCTATTTAATAATTCAATACACTCATTTTAACAGTCTATAATATTTTATTTAATAAAATTCAATATCATATCTTACCCTTTTTATTTTCATATTTTTAAGTATTTTTATGTTTATGTTAATAATAATTATTGACTAAAATTAAATTACAGTACTTAAAAGTTAAATGAATGTTTAAATGCTTGAGATAGGAAAGATAAAAATGAGGGTTTATGAGAGTTTAAGTAGAAAATTCTTGCTCAGTTTGTATCCAAATTAAATTATAAGTCTCTATTTATAAAGTTTTAAACTGATAAAATATCTTCTATTTTATTAAAATACATAATTCTATATATAATAACTGAATCAAATACTGTAGATGAAAAAAAAACTCAGCACCAAGCACCATTAACAAAATAAAACCGCATCACCAAAAGGTTTTTCTCAATTAATGGCGTAGTGTCATGTGGAGAACCTCTCTCTTTTATGCAACAAAAATTAACTAGTTCAATTCATTCAACATTTTTAATTCCACCTTATTTTAACCAATTATTCAACACCCAATTGTATTTAATCTACTGTTGAAAATGGAAATTCAAACAACCCATTGTATATTGTCTAAAGCCGCAATGTCTTAAGAGGAATTGTGATTAAAGCAAGACAAAAAGAAGAAGAGTCGTAACATGAGTTTTTGTACACATTAGTAAGGCATGCCTTTTTAAGAGTTGGGCGAAAAATCCGAACCTGAAAAACCTAACCGAATCTGATAAAAAAAGTACTGAACTTAAATTAAAACTTGTTAAATATCTGAACAAGTTTAAAATTTTGGTATGTAGACAATCGAAACCAAATCTAATCCGAGCTCAAATATTTTTGTAGCAGAACCAGATTTATATACATAAATATATTAGCTATTTAAGATTCAACATCCAAAAATGTATCCAAAAGATGTAAGACATTTTGCAGTTATAGGTTCTTATCACCAACATATATCTATAATATTATATGAGTTTCTTTACGTGTCGTATTTACCTTAATTCTCATGATGATTAATTACGAAAGTATCCTTAGTGAATTTAAAATATTACATTTGATTACCATTATTAAAAAAAAAATTATTTGATAGTTTATGTTATTTTAGCTTAGTTTCTTTTTTTATTTTTTCTAATAACAAATATATATAGAAAGGAAAATTTAGAAATATTTAAAAAAAAAATTTAATAATATTGATATATTATGGGATTTTATAAATAAGAAAGTTAATAAAAATGTTGATATTAACAAAAATCATAAAATAAAAATATATTCTCTTATAGTAATATTTTTTATTAATTTTGTACATATAATTATGGATACCTAAAAACATATTAAAATAAAAATAAAAATAATAAATAATTTAACTGTTTATTTCATTTGTAAAATATATATATATATATTCTTGAGATTCAAAATATTATATCTATCCTCATTTATGTATTTTTTAATCAATCCCTACTTAACCTTAGTTTGTCTATTTGATTCTTAAAAAACATTAAGTTATACGAAATTTCAATAAAATATCTACTATGAATAAAAGAGGCAAATAAAGCCAAATGAGCCTGTCCACGTGGGCAGAAATATTCACCCAATCAAAAGGCTCTAAATTTCCACGTCAACCCGCTTTGTGCCTGAGAAATCAAATAACTAATTGGTTTGTCTATGCGAAATCGAGATGTGAATGGAAAGTATTCTAATATACCCCATTTGGAAAATAACTATTCTAACTACCCCACCATTTTTCTCACTGCCCCACTTTTTTTTTTGTTCGTAGTAGTTTCTAGTAATTCAAGGTAGTTTGTTTTTTGTTCATAGTAGTTTTCTAGTAATTTAAAGTAGTTTCTAGTAATTCATAGTAATTCAAAGTAGTTTCTAGTAATTCATATTACACATAATACTGATTCATTAAGGGTTGTTGGTTTTATAACCATACTTAGACTTTGAACAAAAAAAAAAAATCAAAGTTAAGATGGGTTAAAATAGAATGAAGATGGTAGTGACTGGGGCAATCTAGAATTTAGTCCGATGTGAATTCGGCCTGGTTTTTCACGACAATCAAGCGTTTCACCTTTCTCTCTCACTCTCACAAACAACAAAAAAAGCACAACATCTACAATCCATCTTCGATCTCCCTTCTCTCTCACTACTCTGAAAACTCATTTTTCCAGGTTTACAGTCATACGCTCGCCCTCTCTCCTCTCCCTCGCCACCGTCTCCGGTCTCCTCCGAGAAATCGATGAGATTCTCTCCACCGATGAGACTTCTGCCACTGTTCTTCCGCCGTCCATCATACCATGTACACCAGATTCGAGGCTCTCACCGACGCCTCTTTCCCTCTCGGCTCTCAACCCGTCGGACCCTTCGCTCCGAGCTGTTACATTTGGATCCGAAGATTGTCGGTTTAGTGAAGTCGGTGTTACGCTCGGCCTCGACGGAGTTACAATAACAGGCGGGAGACTCTCTGTTGTGCTCGCCGGCGGCTGAGGAACAACCGGAGCTCCAGATTGAGCGGTTTTAATAATCTGACTCTGTTCTATCTGAGGAGATGAGGTTGTTGAGTGAACCGGTCTGCATCTAAATATTTGATCTTGATCGTAACGGAGATCGAGGGAGGAGGCAGCAAAGGCAAGGCAGTTTTGGACTCCATGAATCTGAATCCTCGGATTTTCATCAATGGAACGCTCAACACCGTTGACGACATTGTCAGCGAAGCGTTTGATTTCTTTGCCAGGTAATTAATCTCTCTCAAATCGCATATTTATATGAAACGTCGATGAAAGACTTTTCTAATTGAGCGTTTGGGTCATTCATTACATTTGCAGTGAAACATTCAATACTCTCAAAATCGTTGGAGGATCGGATAACAGGCCACAAGAGCTAGCAAAAGTGAGTTTAATAGATTTTGGTTTATGTTCGTTTTAGGGTCATCGCTATTGATTAACTTGGGTAAGCTAGCAACTTGCACTCTTTGTAGGTTCCAAAGGACTCATTTTGACTTTATAATATGGTGGTTCTCTCTTTTTTTTTGGTTCTTCTAGGTGGGGTGGATCACAGAAGGTACAGTATCATTTGAATCTTTCTCAGTTTTGCTTTATATTATATATGGAGTTGCGTCACCTGTAATGAAATTGTTTTGTGCCTGACTTTAACAATGCAGAAACAGAGGCATGTTTTATAGACTCATTTGAGGAATGGCGTAAATCCAAGAATCTCAGTAACTTTATTCTGTTAGGGCACTCTTTTGGTGGTTATGTTTCTGCTAAATACGCTATTAAGGTGAATTTTCTCTACATCTGTGGTATAACTTTCAATGTGTAAAAGGTGACAGTTTGTAACTTATATGGTTTATAACTTTTCAGCATCCTGAGCATGTTCAACACTTGGTTCTGGTGAGATCTGCTGGATTCACTGCAGAATCGGATCCCAAGTCAGAATGGCTCACTAAGTTCAGAGCAACGTGGAAAGGTGCAGTCCTGAATCATTTATGGGAGTCTAACTTCACTCCTCAGAAGCTGGTTAGGTATGCTCTTATAATATTTTCATGTTCACACCTATATAATGCTCTTATAATATTATTCTAAATATGTTTCTGGTGCAGAGGATCAGGTTCTTGGGGTCCAAGTCTTGTAAACCGGTATACAAGTACAAGATTTGGTGCAAATTCTGAGGGAACTGAGCTAACAGATGAGAAATCCAGATTTCTTACCAGTGAGTAATTCTTTCCTTAAGTTCCATAGAGGATGATGAATGCATAGCTTATAGTGATGGTTTGATTTTCAGATTATGTGTATCATACATTAGCTGCAAAGGCTAGTGGAGAGCTGTGCTTGAAATACATCTTCTCCTTTGGAGCATTTGTATCATACATTGTATGAGCATTTACAAAGGTTTGTCCCACCAACTCTGATGAGAAAAATCATTATGAGGTGGAGTGTTTACATAAGTCAAAGTTCAATGACTGTTTCTTCTTGTGCAGTGCCAACAACTTTTATATATGGAATGAATGATTGGATGAACTATCAAGGCGCAGTGGAAGCGAGGAAACACATGAAGGTCCCTTGCGAAATCATTCGTGTTCCACAGGTTAATCTCTATAATAGATACGCTTTAGTTTTCAGTTAAGAGGGCAGTATTGAGAGAAGAAGATGCTTATGTGAAATTTTGCTTGATAAAAAACTGTTTTGCAGGGTGGCCATTTTGTGTTCATAGACAACCCATCTGGTTTTCATTCTGCAGTGCTTTATGCTTGCCGTAAGCATTTATCTGAAGACCAAGACTCCTCTCATGAAGAACAACTCCCAGATGGTTTACGATTGGTTTAGTTGTACTATGTTGTTCTTTTACATTTCAACTTTTTATTATATATGTACAAAAGAATATAAGAGAACATCAAAAAAGAAAGAAGGAATTATTATGTGCTCATTCTTTTTCCATTTCAATTTTCTTAAAAAGAGAACTTGCTCAATAAGAGGTCTCTTGGTGGTGTAAGGTGTTCTTACGGAGGAAAGATGGTTGATTTGAAAGGAGAGAGTCCTGGTTCGGTGATGAGGAAGAGATGTGTTGTGCCGGCGAGTTCAAAGTTAGATTTACTTCAAAAGAAATCTAAGAAAAGGATGATGCCATAGAGGTAAATCTCTGAATTTGCAGTATAACATGTTCCTCTGTTTCTGGAAAGGTGGAACGCATATGGAATCGATATATTTCTGAATCTTCACTTTGTGTATTTTTATGATAATAGGTCTATGGAAACAACGTTGAGATCCAAGCTTTAGCAGAAATGTATAATAGGCATATCCACATTTACTCATATAGAACATGTGCAACTTCGATTTGACTTTGGGAAAAAAAAGTTCTTTATGATCTTTATCGAAATGTATGTCAGCTAATGTTTTTCATTTCATATAGAGCCTATTAACATATTTCAAGGGAGATACAACACCAATACACCTCCTACAAGGCTGAGTTACCACTATGGGAATCATTACAATTCGTTGGTTGATCCACACCGGTTGACAGTTGGTGGTGCTGGACTTGGATTTAGTAGCCTGACTGGGGTACGTATGGTTTCTTCTCTTTCTTTATTCAACTGTGCAAAAGAAGGTAACTCAAATTAGAAAGGTATCATATCTTTGTTTTTTCTCTCATCATATTTCTTCCTTTGATTCCAGAGACATGTGGACGGGGAGCAGATGAAAGCTGCTATAAAGGCTCAGCAAGAACATTAGATTGATAATGCAAGTAACCCATATCATTTATAATCCACCAATCTGTCTTGAGTGTGTGATTGCTTACGTATCTGTCTTTGTTTCAGGCGCTCATAGCAGAAGGGAGATATTACTCTGACCTTGAGCTTACCGAGAAAGAAATAGAACGCTCTGTAATTGAAGCTTCTCGTGCTGAGTGTCTTATGGAACGGTCTAAGCCACGAATTGGTCCCAAGGAATCATCCACCTCTAATGCTGAGACGTCCTCTTCTGGAGCTAGTGAGTTATCTTTCTATTGAATCCTCTTCACCTAGAACACACTTTAGAAGAAGCATACTGAGACAAAATAAAATTCTTTGAGCAGGAACTTTGGCGGTAAAAGAGAAGACGGTGCTGAGCAGCAGCATTGAGATGGTTTTGTCGATGGGGTTTAGCTACATGCAGGCCATGGAAGCTTATAGCATCTTTGGGGATGACGTTGACTCTATGGTCTGCTATGTACTGGAGACGAGCTGTGTCAGCAACAACCGACGCAAAGGCAAAGCCACGGAATAGAGAATGTAACATAAGTTGTTCTGTATCGATATATAGAACTACCAATGTTTGGGCGATTAGACACCCTTATCAAAATAATGAATAAACTTCTGCATCTTGGCATGTATTTGCATGTTTGTGGCTTCTGTACTCATTTATTCTATTAGTTGAATAAGAAAAAAAACGTTCTGGAAAGATCTAGGTAATGGAGGGAGGATTAACGTTTGGAAAGATAATTGGATGCTTACAACACCAACCATGATCAAGGCACCTTATTTGTATGGTAAAAGTCTCTTCATTGGTAGAACCACTGAATGGGATCATCAAAATTTTTTCTACATCCTTTCGATGCTTTCCATGTTAAGTTATTGTGTCCGTCCTGTACAGGAGCGCAAGATAACATTACATGAATCCACACAAGTAGGGAGTTTTCTGTTAAGTCGGGTTATTACTTGCTGCAATGCCAAAAAAGGCTAATCTTCTCTTTTAGTGATTCCTCTCAAACTATATTTCAGTAAAGCTTATTCCAAACATTAACATTTTGGTTGGAAAGCTATTTCATGATGTACTTCCAGTGGCCACCAAAGGTTGAACATAAGATGCTTATTACTAATGGTATATGTCCGAAATGTATGGGATAAATTCAAATATTTTATTTTTATAGTATTATTAAAATAAATTTAGTTTTATTGTATCAAAAATATATGAAACTATTAAAACATGACAAATAAACAAAATTATTTACAACCATAGAGAAGTTGACAACTAAGCAAATTTGCTTCTCAAATAATTGTATAGATATATGAATTATTAATTTATACACTTAAGATTTTGGTAAATATATTATCTTATTAGTTATTAGTTTAAATATAATCTATATATATATATATGTTATCATCAACCAAACTTCTATTGACTTTAGCCTTCCCCACCAAAGCAACCAACTGTAAATAATATGCTATAACCACCACGTAAGCCATATGATACAACTTTTACATATAAATATATATTTTCCACAGTTTGGCATATTGGGTTTCTTCTGACCATTTTGTCCACATTCAGCGACAATTATTGGAAGGCCGGCTCTCCAACAACTATCACCCAACTGATCATAGATTTTTAATCGAAGGAGATTCATACGAATTCTTGGGATTTTCCATCGTATCAAATCACCGTGAACGAAAATTAACACAATGCCCATATTACATCCAGATCGACCAAGAGACGACAATGGCAAATGTTACTGACATAAGTGATTGGACTATCTTATTTAAATATGTATCCATATGCGTCTAAGGTATTCTACAATTTATCTTTTAAACAAAACGTAAAAAAAAAAACATGTCCCCTAGGAAATACGAACACCAAATCAAAAAATTAAAAAGTGGGAATAAGTTATTGGATCAACAAAACTTTGAACATAATTTTCTATCCAACATATTTTAATAAAAAATATATAGAATTTTCACATAGTATGACTCTCTAATACTCTTGCTATCTAATCTAAGGAGTTTGTTTATAAGTTGATAGTTTGTGAAGATAATTATATCTCCATATAACTTTTCCAGAAAACAAACCATTAAAATTTGGTAAATAATGCAATATAAAATACATCACATATTATTCCACTACCACTTTTAAAACATAATAAGTTACAACATTAATATATGTTGAATGTTAAAGAAGTTACAGATTAATAAACATAACTTGGACTTCAAAAAAATTATAATTTTTAGAACAACATTAAAATAAAATAAAAAACACATGGTCAACAAAAATCTAAAAATGAATCAGATCAACAAAAAATTTCAGATTCTTTTGGGAAGCCGGAAATTGAAAGACAATAAACCCGGCCGTAGCCCGGGAAAAGATTCTAGTATTTATAAATTTAAGATAACAACCAACCTAAATGAAAAATAAAAATTTTAAAAATAATAATATGTAGAGAAATAAAATAATATGGTTGAATTCAAAGAAATTGATGCAATCTAATATACACAAGTGTTAACTAAACCGACTAGATATTACATATAAAAATCACATGATTAATTAAAAAATATTATATTATACATATTAATATTGAAATTATTTAAACTGAAAATAAAAAAAAATCAACTATTATACAATATTTATTTAATATATTTATATATGTGCATGAGCACGAAAGAATTACTTTATTTGAAAATATATATAAAAATAGTGAAAAGTAAATACCTAATCACAATTCACTCTAATAGGCAATTTTTTTTGTCACCAAAAGGACCGTCAAGAAAAAAAATGACCAAATGAGGTTTTATTAAAGAGGAAATAGACCATAATAACTATGTCTTTATAAATATAAAAAATAATAAAAAAATTCTATAGTTTCGAATTATATGTTTTCAAACTCTAACTTTTAAATTCACTTTTGTTTTTGAAATTCGTAAAATGCTTTTTGAAACTATTTAATTGTTTTTTGAATTTTTATATTTATTTCTTATTAATGAAAAATTTAACCATAAAACATCACTTCTTAACTTTAAACTCAGTCTAGATTAGTTAATCTTAGGGTTATAAGTGTATATTTACATTTTAATAAAAACATATTTTGGTCGTTCTCTTTGTTGGGGCTCTTTCAGTTAAAAGAACAAAAAATAAGTTAGCTTAGGGAATTTCTAAATATCTAAAGTAGATTAAAAAAATACTCAAAATACCAAAAATACTTAATATATCTATTGATGCTTCATCGAAATATTCAAGTTAAACCAATTTTTATGTCAATTTTACGTATTTTGGCATACATTACTCAAATTTATATTTTGAGAAATTTGAAGTATGCATGAGTTTTAAATATTTTAAAATAATTTAAATGGGTTATTCGAACCCAGAAATATTCGAATCGAACCAAACCAAAATTTATAAAAATCCAATTGAGGTTAAAATATTTAACCCAAAACCCGGAACTAAGCGCTTTATGGATGATTTGTTGATTATTAATAAACAAATCATAAATATTTGCAGTAGCCTCAAAAGTGTTTGTAGTATATCCCAAACATATTTAGCTGATTTACATATGTGTATTAAATTCAAATTGCTTTCCATATACGTAACTTGAGATTGTATCTAATACTTTCGCGTTAAACTTTAAAAAATTTCTTTGTTGCAGTCCACTTTATTTTAGGTTTAGGTGTCTTCCAGCCATCTTCTAGCTTCACACATGGTTCTTCCCTTTCACAATGAACAACCGTCGATATGTCTTTTTAATACCCATAATTTACATAATTCGGCATCAACATATTATGTGCCAAATTGACATATTCTCTTCTTAGAATTTCACCTTTTGTTCAAAACCCTCCTTCGTATAGATGTTTCGCTCAATACCAATTGTAAAATCAAGATTCAAGGAAAACAACAGGCACACAAACTAATTCCAAGATCATGATCTTTCAAACAATCTCTTACAAACTTGCATGTTGTGAATTACAGAACGATGTCACATAGAACTTGACCCATATCAATTCCTACTCTATACACCTTACTTGACTCAACACATGTTAATAAAATCTCTTAAATTACTCAGTTATGAAACTTTAGAACCCTTTGTGTTTTCCCTCGAAAATTGCAGCATCAAAAGATCTAACCTATAATTATAGATAAAAACCAAGTTATATATCAAATAATTTTTTATTTATTATAATATTTCCTATTTTTAGGATCAACAAATCATCCAACTGTGATTGGGTAAATGGCTTATTAATGTCCACACTACAAAGACGGAGAAAATACATATCCAAACTATATTAGCGTGCCAAAACATTTCTCAACTAAAGAAATACTTGAATTTCATACCCACATTTACTCCAAACAATTTTAACATGCCTTATAACTAACACGTGTAAGTTCATTCTAAAATGCATTGAATTATTTTTTCGATTTATTATATTCTAGTTTCTATCATTTTATCTATTTTTAAATTACCTAAAATAATTAAAATTATCAAGTTGACCTTATTTATAATTTCAAATTGGATATAAAATTTAATATATGTAAATATATAAAATAAAAAAAATTATCAATAAAATATATTTAATACTATAAATATACTGTTACTAGTTAATATTAAATTATCAATTAACAATTAAAATATTTGCTACAAAAACTTTTAATCAATGTAAAACAACATAAAAAAAGTATCATAATTGAAAGCTTAATTTAAAGTTACTAAAGTGCTTAAAATTTATAGAACACCTTTTTACAGTTTCTTAGGTTATTTTACTGCAAAGATTATTATTTCTTTGCGTAGTAAATATGATATAAATTAAATTAAAAATTTGTAATTTTATTTGCAGATTTTAATTTAATTATTAAAATTAATTAGAAAATATCTGATATTAATTTTTTTTTCAAAATTATTATACCAATATATTAATCTATTAAGTTTTTTCGTCATCCGTTAGTGATTTTCAATTTTTGATGTAGGAAACAAAAGGTGGAATCATATCGAGTTAAAAAGCTACCAAAACCCATGTTCTAATTTGGGCTAAATCTCCATTGTCTCAAATCTGATTTGATTATAACATAAACTAGATATTGACCCGCGCAGTTGCGCGGAATTATTATATTTATATTATCATTGATATTTTAAATTAAAATTTTATGAGTTTTATAAACTTTAGTTTTTGTCAAGATTGTATTTTTTGAATTTTTTTTTGTTTGATTCTTGTTTGGTTGTGAGTTTTGGTTTTAGTTCAAGAAATATAATGCTACTGATAATTCATTAATAATCTCTGGTTCAAAAAATATAATATTTATATCAAATTTTATGTTTTAAAATTATAATTTGATGATATTTATAGACTTTGGTTCGCTTCAAGATTGTATTTTAAATTTTTTTTATGATTCGATTGTGAGTTTTAATTTTCAGCTCAAAAATATAGTGCAACTGAGAATTCATCAATAATCTTCCATACACCAACTTGAAGATGCTTCTTTACGCGAAGCATAAAAGATCTTTTTAGAGGAACAATGTATGTTAACACTCT